GGAAACATGTATTTCTCACTAAATGTGAGTTTCACAGCTTGTCTTCTGTTAAGATTTCCTCATGTCAGGCTAGAAAGTTACAGGACAGCACAGAGAGGCAGCATGTGTGCTGTGTGCTCCCAGCTCCAGCCCTGCTGGTGCCCAGACTGACAGAGACTTCTTCCACCGCTGCTCCAAGCCCAACACGAAACCTTAAATGTTAACAGTCACCTTACCCACTTCTTCCAGGTTAAAAATTGAGGACATACATTTTCCTCCTGGCAGAACACTATTACTCTGCCAGAATCCCTCGGCACTTCTCTCTTTCTAATCTAGGTGCCTCTACCGCAGCGATCACTGTTGTATATAGAACATATTCCCCCAGGGCAACGCGCTCGCTTCGGCCCGTGCTGGGTCCTGCAGGGAATGTGACTGCATCTGAAGGCTGTCATACACCAGCTAATCAAATAGACACCACGGAAAACAAACGCAAGGGCAACAGAAATCTAATATCAACCAGAGGGCTTGTCCTTCCATCAGTGTTATTGGCACAGTGCTGTACTCGCTGGAGAGCCTGTATAAGCAGACACTACATTTCCCCAATCTCCATTTCTCACTGCAGAAGGTCACTTAGTTCCAACAACAACTTAACGAGAAAATTTCCCAATACGAGGCAGCCGGCTCGCGCTAGCTGTCATGACACTTATGACTCATTTTTATAAGGGAAGAAAGACTCCAACCCTGAAAACTCATGTTTACCTCAGTTCCTGCAAGCACTCCCCCTAATTTCAGGGGAGCTCACAGCCTTTAGGTTTTCATCCAAACTGCACATGTAGATATTTGCAAAGTGATAGTATTTATTACTAATCAGAGGCAACTAGGCATGTTTCTGAGGACTTCAGTGAGCTGTTGTAATTTTCTTAAGTTATATTTCAGTATGGAAATAAGCCCCACAAAATATTATCCTACCTATCTGACTCACCATTAACAGGCATTTATAAAATGACATAAATGTCTACACATTAAATACCAAAAACAAAATTAAAACATGCCTATCATACTGTGCAAATAAATCAGTTCATACAAATACAAATATACAAAGCAGTTTCCTGCTCTGCCTTGAAATATCACCTTTGTCTGCTAAACACAGCAAAATTTCAGATCCCAGAGTGAAACTGGAAAAAAAAATGATGTAAAAATAAGGTGTAGCTGCAAGGAAAATCATGGTTTACAGCACTTTCATCAGAATCAGTTTCTGATTAATTGTGATCCTGAATGTCTTAAAATTACATGTTCATATTCCCAAAGAACAAAACTTTCTCTGAAGGTAACTTTTCTCCAGTAAACAGCTCTACAGTATCAGAACAACAAAAGAGGACAATGTGCATAGAGAGGAAGAGCTTTAAGTTCAGGTCCATAGTTCATTTGAAAAAAGGCTGAGAGGAAGTCGTCTTTAAGGCTGTTAAAAGGAATACAACTTTGGAGTATTTGGAGTACATTAGAAACTTCCAGAAACTCTGTACAATTTTCAGGAGAGTCCAATTTTTCAGATTTCGTATTCTTTTCAGGTTTCCAGAGAAGAAAGTATACCATGAAAGTGCCAAATGTCATGGTGAAATACACAGTTAGCTCTAACTTAAAGAAAACTCACAGTGCTTATTTGCCAAATTAACCTAGCCAGCTCCTCTCAGTTTATGTACGTGACACAGATGTGCTGCTTGTGTATTCCTCTATTTCTGCCAGCGAGACCATGGCTGTAGAAATGACTCAGTTGAAGCAGGGACGTCTCCCAGGTGCACTAAAGCAGAGCAGTTACTGTAGTCACTGAACTAAGGAAGGGGACACACAAAACAGAGCTGTAGTCCCAGACTTGCGGCCCGAAAGGCCAGTCTGGCTCTCCAGGGTCACCAGAACTTGCCTCAGACCTCAGGAAAAATGGAACCTGACCTTTCTGCTTTAATTTTTCATGAGCTTAAAATTGTGACCATTCAACACCAGACTCTCAAGACTTCAACACATAGATGTAGAAGACTAAAGCCTATTTTGCAGTAAGTTCTAGGGGGGTTGTGAGACCTTTTTGGGCAGGAGGGGTACATTGCCCAGATGTGGCCAGATGATGGACACAGAACTGCTGAGCACATTTATACCAAAAGATTTTAGGGAACACGAAACTGCCTGTTCACTCTTGATGAAAGCCAGTGTATCTGTATGCATACATACACACTCTCCCTGTACCAGTTTCAACTCACTCTTTTCCCATTACATAGCTGAAAAGGTTTTTTAAAGATCTTTTAGGAGTTAGATCTGGATTGTGATTAATGTGATACTCTTAGGGAAAGTTTGGGAAAGAACTACAAGCAAAATTAGCCTTTCCTATGCAAAAATAAGTAATAAAGGGGGGCAGCTAATTGCACAAATAGACAGGCGTCTAACATAAATCTCTTATAGAAAGAGTTAAAAATAAGCATTTCTATACCCCAAATGATTAATATTCCACCCAACTGTTTCTTTTCCCCAGCAATCTGCAAACTCTAAGTGGGTGGATTTTTTTTTAGCTGCTTCTTAGGCATATTTATATTATTTTCATAATAAAAAACTACAACAGAAATGATGAAATGCAAATGTACATGCTTTAAACTCTGTTGGACACAGATTTTCCCTAATACTTCACTATGTTCAAAACTGCAAGAATGGCTGTTGCAAAACTTGTTTGGGAAAAAAACAGATGATACAAAGTGACATGAAAAACATTTGAACTGATTTCATGCTTCTGAAGTTTAAAATTATCCCCCTAAAAAGCACACCTGAAAGCACCCATTCCTCTTACAGCTCTCAGAAGAGCTAGAATCAACCTAGAATCTCCCCCGTCTGAAGGGGAAATTGGGAAGCTTTCCCTGACAAAATTCACTATCACCCCCTCCATGGGGTCTTCACATGCATTTCCCAGGGAACAAAATATTTTTAAAACTACCCGACCTTTCAGAGAAAGCCTCAAATGAATGAAATAAGTCACAACCAGCTTCCATAAACAGCTGCCTAACCGGACCATAAAACCACGTTGCAAAAGAAACTGCAAGACCTGGTTAATCCCCTCAACCCCTCAGATTAACTGTGTGCAAGAAAACAGCAGCCGGCACCGCCAAAGTGGCCGGCTTGCCATCGCTTACCTTCTTTCTTTGTGAAGGCATTTAACAAAGACTTCATTTTTCCCCTGTTACTTTAGCAGCGATCCCCTCATGGTACCATCTTTGCCGGGAAGGAAAAGAGGAGGGAAAAAAAGGAAAAAAAAAAAAAAAAAGGAGAGGGGGGAAGGAGAAAAAAAAAAAAAGGAAAAAAGCGGAGCGAGCTGCCCGGCGTGTGCGGAGGCGGCGGCTGCGCACCCGGGCGGCAGCGCAGCCCCCGTCGCCGCTCAGCCGGCACCGGCGCGCAGCATCCCT